AGCCAGATGCGTCCAAGATTGACCGCGAACACAGTCCGAGGGATGGCCACAGCCGAGATTGCAACAGAAGTATTGCGCCAAGCGGATTGCGTGCTGCTCCCGCACAAAAGCATGCGTTCCAATTTTGACAAGAGGCTTTGCATTGGTGAGCTTGTGCCAGCAATAGGCAGAACGGGATTTGCTCAGCCTTCCTGGAAGACTGACGTCGATGGCTGCCGGCTATTACAAGTCTTCCGGAAGAACCTTTCTTGCACAAATCGAAGTGTACAGGCAGCTCATGCGGCTTGGCGTCTCCACACAAGGCTATACCTAGCTTTGGGAGACCGTTGAGGCAGTGGATCACACCATGGCGCATGCGTTCCAACGGGCTGAAAGACACCATGTACGAGCTACCGAACCCGGGCGATATTACTATCGACATTGAATGACATTGCAACGTTTCAATCACATCGGCTTGCATCAATCGAGACTTCTCTTGTCGCGGAATATAGCTGCTATAGACAAGACGCTACGATATTCAATCCTGCTGGGCTCTTGAGGCGGGGCCACCAAGCCGCGTACCGTACCCCAACCGTCCGACCTGGACCCCGGTCATCCATGAGCGTGGGACCGCTGCAACCAAACAGTCGGGCCTTTCAAGGGGTTTTACGACCTGCATGCGGTCAATCTAGACGTTTCAGATGCTTCCATCACAGAAGATGGGCGCATAAGTTGCTCCTGATAACCGGATTGGTGGGCTTACGAGCCACCCTTTCACCACCGCTGTCAACACCGACCATCAGCACCCCAGATTTATCCAATCTTCTAATGCTGACCCGGCTTCGCACGCAACGGCATTTGTCCTATTCACAGACTTGCCTCCGTTGTGCTGGACCCTATGTTCCTCGACGAGTCAGAAAACCCCTGTAACCCAGAATCACGGATCCATCTAATCTAACTTTGCATCCGACAAGAACTAGCTCCCGGGACGGGGTGTCTTGGCCGAAATGTCCTGGGACTTTGTTGCTAGCAAAGAGGAGTGACTCAGTCTGACCTATCCACTTAAGGTGTCTTCATGGGAAATTCTAGCATCAGAATGGATGGAAGCGCTGTTGGCGAGCTTATCCATACCTATGAAAGAAGATTGCAGCTTCTCTTCAGAGCGGTTGCGTTGGGTCGCGGAGGGGTCCGATGGGCATCGCACATCGCCGGGACATCACAAAACGATCGGCAGTTGCATTATTCCCGTGTCGCGGGCAACGAATCAATCTCGCTACCGACCGGAATGAGGTGACACTGAGTCGGGCTTGGGACCTTGGGCCTTGACGCCTGCCTGCCTACCTTGCCCAGACCACACCTTCTTCCCGGAAGCTCGGGGCACCATAGCGTGCCCCGTTACAAGCGGGGGCTAGCACCGCACGGGCCTAGCGTACCAGACTGTTGGGTCGTTCTACGCCCACATCTCTTTGTGTGGGGTAATTAAGCTCCTGCCCTTCGCGTCGACGACTCACCCTCGAAAACCGCGACCACATCAAAGCCATCAGTCGCAATCAATGAATGAGGTACATGCGAAAACAAATCTGAAAATAAAATTTGAAAAAAAGAAGAAAAGTTCAGCCAGAGGCTTATGAAAATTCCCAGGAGATTCTTACCAACCTCAGGTGTAACGATGCAAGGAATTTTTCTAACGGCGGCAGGTCTCGAACCCTGCGCACCCGTGGTGTGAGACGTTCAGAAAAACTCGCTTTGAAGCGCCTACTGATCCCACTAGACCACGGACTGTTGTGATAGACGGACTTGTTTTTTGGGGGCATATACCATGGGGCGGCCGCGTTGGGACGGAGGGCGTTGCTGCCTCAGGGGGGCTTCTGCCTGAGGACCAACCTCCTCGCTTCGCCTTGGGCGTTCGAGTTCAAGGCTTTCCATTCACGCCAGCCAAGCTATGAATCTAAGATATGCGAACAAATTGCCCCGCTTGAGTGTCGTCAACACAGCAGTGCTCCTACCCACTACTCCTCGCGGTCAACCACCTTGGTCTGCGATGCATCAAGCATGCAATCACACTTATACGTCTTGAACTTCCGTACTGGCACACCCTTCTGGAACATCTCCTGCAGCTCAAGATAGTTGCGACCCTTCATCTCCGGCAGGCAGACGTACAAGTATACGCACATGGGCACCGACAGACCGAAAAATACGAAGCAGATTTTCGCCCCCAAATTAGCCTGGTCAGGATTGATTCTGGTTTACCAAACGTTAGTTTTGGTCCGTTGTGCGCTCATGCTGTTTCTTGCATCGGTAGGGGCTAGACTCACAGGTATGGCATCACCTGCAGCGTCATGCACGAGACAGCTGTCGCGGACATGATGTTGATGCTGTACGTCTTTTGGCGAAGTTGGTTGCTTGGTGTTTCTCCTCCGACCGAGTAGCTCGTCGCGCCGAGTGTCATTTGGTACTGCGAGAACTTAGGCACAATTCCACAAAGTCGGATTGCGTCGCGCTTACCAAGAAGCCCCAGATCGTCATCAGACTGACGGTGGCCATCAACGCCTTCTGGTTGTTCTCCAACGTGCCGATGCCTCCGATCAACAACAAAGTGGCCGTCATGACAAAACAGCCACCGACGATCATTGGGCGGCGACCGACGCGGTCAATGAGAGGCCAGGAGCACATGTTACCGAAGAGCTGCACAGCAAACGCTGCCTGAGCGATGCCGATAGGGTTCTGGACGCCCGCGAGACGGAAGTAGTATCTGCGGCCATGTTAGCAACGAATACCGTACTGCTTTTCCCGTCTCTATACTGACGTTAAGTAGCCAGACACAAAGTTCACTCCAATGAATTGTTGTGAGATGAACACAAAACAAATGATCAGTGTCCGACGACCATCAGGGCCCTTGAAACACTGAAGCCAAGATCCACCCTCCTTTGAGTATTCCTGTTCCTTGGCTACCGCCACCGTCATGATGGTCATGGCTTCATCGACATCAAAGTTGGGTCCGTTGAATCGACGGAAAGACTTGGCCGCTTCGTGGGGCTTTCCATGCATAATCAGCCATGAGGGTGATTCGGGCAGAAAAGGCAGACCCAGCAGGAGCAGGCCCGGGGGGATGATCTGTGTGATGATAGGGATGCGCCATGCGAGTTGGTCAGTGTGCGTCTTGTCGCTCGCAAAGACAGCCAGAGAGTTGAGCCATTGGCCGATCACAATCATAGTGTTCTTTCAAAGGTTAGTTATGTTCCAAAGGGGATTTAGGTCCAGGTGTGACGCACCACTAACGCCAAGCAGGTTCCACGCATCCTGACAGGCGCGAGCTCTGCAACAAAAACGGGGCCGAGAGAATGCCCCAATCCGAAGCCGAAGCAGGCCACGATTTTCCCGCCGAATATCTGCATAATGGACTTGGCGAAGTACTGCGCGATGACGCCAGCAACGCAAAGGATACAGGCACCGATGATGGTCTTCTTACGCCCAAGTCTGTCCGAAACGAAGCCGGTCGCGAACGCCGAGACGAAGAGACCGATTGTCGTTGCTGCGTTGAGGATTTGTTGATCTCTGGCACTGACGACCCATTCGCCGTCGACCTGCTGGCCAAATTCCTCAAGGAAGGGCGTTACAGCAAGCAGGTTGCCAACAGTGCTGGCCTCGTAGCCAAAGTTCACCGGCAAGAGGAAGATCAGGAGGCCTTGATGCGAGCGTGAGTTGGAGATGGCTTCTTTCTCGTGAGGTCCATCAACTTACACCATCCCAGCACTCTTTTGTTCTCCCATATGTACTGCAAAGTGATCTTCTCGTCCTGGTGGTTGGCGACCGACTCAAGGTCAACATTCGTCGGTGCTTCAGCATGCTGCGACGCATGCAGATCCTTCTTTGAGGCCGTCTTTTCGGTTAATGAAGCCATTGCGGATATGTCCTCACTTTAATCGAGGTCAAGTCGACGCTTGCGAGTAGACAACCACGTCGCAATAGAAGTGGCCACCCCAAGCTTTATACACGACGGTAGGTTTTCATCTCCCGTTCGCTTCGCCGAGGTGGTGCCACGAGCCTCACTGTTGCCGAAGGTTGAGATCGTGTTCCCGAGGCTAGGGCTCATTTGAACCTGGGACTCCAGAAAACGAGGGGCCACTTGACACATCTGGAGAAGACAGGGGCGGGTACATGACTGCATTTGGCATTTGCGGGGGCCCGGGGGCTTGGTGTTACTCAACTGGGGATTCACCATGTCCGGGCTGGGATCCCATAATTATCTGCCGTGAACCAGGTAAAGAGACCAGGAAGGCGGGGAATACTATGGCCAGATTCTCGGGTTCGTCAGTCTGGTATTGATACGTCAACACGCGACAAAACTCAATTGCAAAGAGCAGCAGGCAGGGTCTGTCAATGCTGTATGACAGGGGTATTTCTCCGTGGGGGATTTGCGGATCTTCAGCTTCACGCACGAGGCCAATGAGAGTTACTTTGACAGGGGAGCTGCTACCCCTGGTGCGCTCGCACTGCGGGGGTTGCAGGGGAGCTTGTGGGGTTTGGGGCCGGCAAACTTGGAATTAGCGACTCAGGACGAACTTCGCCGTCCTCATGACCAAGACCGGGTCTTCTTGACGACATGATCCAATGCTTTCCCCGCGGTTTCCCCGTTATTACTCCATCTAGACAGGCCTCGTCGACTATTTGCGGTGATAAGCAAGTCGAAATGGAAGAACCTTGCGTGGTTAGCCCACCTAGCATCTTTGCCATCAGATTAGACAAGCCCGGTCTCTGGGCAGACTAGCTTTATGCTCGCCGGCTGGCCTGTTTAATGCTCGAAAGGGAAGTCCTAAACACCCGGTCTTTCGGCAGCTTTCTCGGTCGTCTGATCCGGTAAATGGACGCGCCGACGGCATAGACCTCTTCCACATTTCTTTCCATGTGCCGACTACGAAGTGTTTATGCTTGACAATAGTTCGCGACTGCAACACACAATGATCTGGTTTGGAAGCTCATAAGAACAGAAAAGGCCAGAGAAGGTATCCAAGTACGCAAAAATGGCTCAGCTCGAATTTAGCATCCCCTCCACCATACCGGAGCCGTTCTCGCCAAACTATCTCTTCGCAAAAGACGAGATCCCCGAGTTCCTCATACCAAAATTGGTGCACAGTTTTGTCAACACCAAATCCGCGAACAGCCTCACGACTTCTCGACTCGATACCTATGCCACTCTCACCAACTTCACAGAGGAGAGTGGTAGTGTCACCCTTGACTATGGCGTCGCCGTGGCCGGCATCCCAGTGCTACATATCCACGGACTTGACACGCCTTCCAACAAGGCGTTGATTGACTTCACGGTTTCCGAAGGCTACCCAGGGATCACAAAGAGCGAAGGCGATGGGCCATACCCTTTCTCAGCCGGTGCCGATACCTCCCGCCGTGTCCGCTTTCGAGTAAGCGGCCCGGGCTTCTACGAGGCCAAGTGTGTGCAAGGAAGCCAGCGCTGGCTCAAGGTCTCTCTCATCACGAAGAGCCCATGCTCCGTACGCATCTCTCTGGTAGGCTTCGTGCCAACAACCTCGAATATTCCAGTTGATAAGCTTCCGGGATACTTTCAATGCTCTGACGAGACTCTGTCAGAGCTCTGGGGATATGGAGCGAGGACGTTGCAGCTGAACTGCGTACCGGCTCGCTCTATACCTTCCCCATGGCAGGTATCGGAAGACATGGGTGTCTTGGTAGACTCTCAAAGATGCAATGCTTATGGGTGGGGACATTTGTGGACGGACTACAACTTGGAGTTTGATGGCATGATCCTTGAGGGAGGTCTGGCGTGGATGGTTCGCGTGTCTCCTGGCATGCCGGGAATGCTCTTCCAGCTCAATGTCGAAAATGGCAAAGCAGTCATTGAACAGTGGTTCGGCTACTACAATAAGCCCCAGACAACTTTGGTTCCAAAGCTCATTGCCTCAGTTGAGATCCCTGAGCCCAAGATATCTGAAGGCGAATGGTTGCGCATTAGGACGAGTTGCATCGGCGAGGCCCCTGTCTCTATCAGCATCGACAACACCCAAGTTGCAACTTTCAAGCAAGGCGGTCTAAAAGTCGGTAGGTGTTATCATCTTTGGGAGAAATTGAGTGACTACGCTAACTATTTCGCAGAGGGCTTCGCAAGTCTCGCAGTTCCTCCCGATCACCCTGATTTCCCCTATTTCCCCAAGGGCTCTGTTGCCATCGGGGCAGGGCAAGATCAACTTTGCCGTTTCAGAAACCTCGTGGTCCGAAATCCCAACAATGAAGTACTTTGCCAATCTGGGCTTAATACACCGGCGGTTCTCGGTGACTTTGGCTTGAAAACAAATCAGTTTCCATTCGTCTTCGATGGTGCCAAGCGGGATCGATACCCATGGACAGCCGACATCATCGTGGGTGGACGATCAGCCTACTACTCCACGGCGGGCTCAGAGTACATACGAGGGAACATTGCCGCTTGTATGCTGAGGTTTAAGGGTGACGAAACAGGGCGCGGGCTTCTCCCGGGAGGGGTGCCTCCTGGCCGAGACTTCACCAGAGATCTGACTGACGGTTTCTTCAATATTGAGACAATCAACTACTCTCTCTACCTGATCCTTGTGATCTACGACTACGGCTGTACACCGGAGACGATGCTTTGGTCAAGTTCTGCTGGGACAAGCTGAAAAGCTGCATCGCCTATGTTTCAGCACGAGTAAACAAGGACGGTCTTGTCTGCGCTGAAGGCTTCGACGGGGGAGACTACGATTACTACAATGGACTCCAAACAGGCATATCCACAAAGCGCAATGCCCTGTTCATTGCGTCCCTCAAAGCCTGCGCACATATTGCCTTTTGCCCAGGCATCTCCGACAAAGCGGCAGCAGAAGCCTACGCAATGTCGGCCATAAGCATGGTGGACGCAGTTCGTAAGCACTGCTTCAACGCAAACTCGGGACACTACAATATCACAGACACTCGCACCGAAGGCTTCCAGCAAGAAATGCACGCCTGGCTTATTCTAAAACACATATGCAAAGAAGAGCAGATGCCTAGCCTGCTCGACAAGTTCGGTTCACTCGTCTTGCCCTCTACCATCAATGAGGCCCCTTTATCCTTTAGCCCAGACACCCCCGGTCCACCGCCCGTCATCTCACCCATAATGTCCGCCTTCCACATTCAAGCTGCGCTTCAAGCAGGTCGACCAGCCGAAGGCGAGCGCGTACTTCGTAGTGTTTTTGGCCCCATGGCAGACAAATCAAGCGAACACTTCACCGGCACGACCTGGGAGTTTCTCAACCCCGACGGCACGCCTTTCAAAGGCGACTTTTGCTCATACGCGCAGCTCTTTGGCGCCGGGCCGACCTCGATACCGTCGCAGTATGCCCTGGGCGTCGAGCCTCTTGCCCCTGGGTTCAAGGAGTTCAGGATCTGGCCGAGGTTTGATGTAAATGGGCTGAAATGGGCGCAAGGGAGAGTACCGACGCCTGTTGGGGATGGAATCGTTGTGAAGTGGCAAGTGTTCAAGGCTGGGTGGTTGCTGGAGGCCTGGGCGCCGCTTGGTCTTGATGGCAAAGTGAGAATTCCCAGTCAGGTCTGGGAGAGGAAACAGAGTATTTCTGTTGACGGCAAACAGGCAGGGGTCGAACTTGAGGTGCCTTTCACGAAGCACATCAAGGTTGCTGTCACATTTAGATAAGCGACAGCGTCTACCACATATGAAAATCAACCCCGCGAATAACCTTGAAGCATTGTGAACGTGGCTTTCCTAACCTATATACTTGATTCGTAGTCCGTACTTGGTCTCAAACAGGTTCCTTCGTGGATGGCCCCGCTTTCCCCCATGACTGGCAAAATGAAGCTATCGTCACCCACCACCAGGGCAGAGGCAAAAACGTCAAAAAACATACAACACCGGGCATTCGCCGGTCGTCACCGACCCGACTACTACTCCAGCCCTCATTGGCTTATCTATGGGAGAGCGGACGGGATCCCGAGTTTTCCAATGGGTATGGTCGTATGTGGTGGTCTGGAGTGAGAAGGCGGATCATATACTGAGACAGCATGCCTCTGGTCCGCGTTTGCAGTCACAACTAAGGAATCTCGAAGGAATACATATTGTTTGCGATGATGTGTTTCAATTGCAGGTTCAGATAATATTCTGAATGACATGTGGAAGAACAAAGATGCGCGGGGGCTATCGAGGTCGAATATATCAAACATGAGAGTGGGGTTGGCAGCAAGTTGACACCCATGTAAGTACATGGATGCCTTCTGCCAAATCCAGCCATTGCCACTTATGATTGCTACTCCGCTATGAACCATCTGTCGGTACCTAAGGTATTTCAATGTGCATGAGTACTTCTCACCTGCCTCCTTTCCATTCCCTCACCAACCGTCCTTTGGTTTCCTCACCCTCTTCTGCATCTCCCGTATGTCAGAGACGTCGCAGTTGGCGGCACTTGCACCATGTCTTCCACCGAGGCCATCGTCTACTCGACACTGGACATCACTGAACGAACAGTTCTTCCTCGGTCCGACGATGAGTCTCTCTGGGACAAAGTCCAGCCCACCGCCGCCGTCGAGTGCCCCGAAGCCCTGCTCCTGGCCTGGCCGATCTTCGGGCCCATCACCGACATCGCCGTCCTCGATAGCACAGCTGCCTCAGGCGAGGCACTCAAGAACCGTCAATCGTTTGTGATCGAGAATCCGGACGGTTCTAAGACGTTTCACCCCGTGGCCTTGCTGCCTGCTACCTACCCTCTCCTGTCCCGCATCGTGGCATCTGTCGGCATATTTGACGAATTCCTCGCGGTCAGCGAGAGGATGACGGAGTTGCACGAATTTGACTGGGACAACATCGAGGAGGCTCAGCGCGCGGGCGTTACAAAGTTCTACTGCTGCGACGAGGAGTGCAAGAGCCAACTGCCATGGACGGACACGAAGTTTTGGGTTTCTGGTCTCTGGGGGACGGATGTACTGCGCCAGGGCGGCATTGGCTCTGGGGAGCAGTCTAAGTGGAATCCTGAGACAGGAGAGGGATGCCCGCAGACGGAGGAGGAGTGGGAAGAGCTTTTGGAGATGGCAAGGAAGAAGCAACGTGACTTGCGTGCTAGGGGCGATGGCGGCCATAAGCCAGGGATGGTAGAAGTAGATAAAGTAATACATATTAGGACTCTTGGTTTAATTACGAGCAAGATGGAAAGCTGGTGGTATCAATACGCTTATACGTACGTCTCGGCATTTGTGTCCATACGGACAAAAAAAGGAGATGCCGCTCGGCAAACTAATATTCAAGTCATAGATGATTGCTTCGAGACCCAGTACATTCAAACCTCGAAGGGTGGTACAGCTCAGGGTTCAGATAAGTACTGACGGCCACTGAACCATTCTTCACATCACAGGTGATGTATGTGTGAAATCCCAGTCCATCCTCGAGCCTCCGATACTTGCTGCGTTGTCAAAAGTCAGCATTTCATCCACATAAATGCCACTGTCAGACTCACCACAGACTCTTTACTCCTTCGTGATACGTCACACCATTTGCCAAGAACTTGCCTCTCCTTTCCAAGAAGCCCGACAGACCACGCGCAATCTGCTCGTCGTCCCGAGCGTAATGTCGAACAGGCAGATAGACCTTGGGCTTGGGGAGCGGAGCACCAGGTTTCAGCTCTAGGTAGTAGAGGATGCCGCTGGTGCGATGATCTATCGTGGGCAGCGGCCTCGACAAGGCACCCACGTCGTCTTCTGCGCCGGAACCAAAGACTGCAACCCAGAGTTCCTTGAGCGAATACATGACGGTATCGGTGAGGAAGGGGAGTCGTCCGCCTAAGCTCATGACGTTGATCATGCTGCTAAAGGTCGTGTTCTTGGACCGGATGTAGATCTTGACGCGGGAGTCGGCCGGGTTAACACAGTCGATTGCGACAATCTCTACCACCGGCTGCTGCATGGGGGTATGGCAGAGGATGAAGTCTTTGAGCAAGCTGAATTGGCCCATGAGTGTTGTCGAGGAACATTCTGGGCCTAGTGGTTGCAGGGTTTGTATAGCCTGCTCAACCAGGTCCAAATTCGATATGCCCAGAGAGGAGGGCTTCACGGTGGGTATGAAGTAAGACTTGACCGTGGTGCTCCCGTCGTCCTCGAGGTCAAAGGCAGAGAAGGTCTGCGAGGAAGAAACAGCTTCGTCTATATTATAATCTTGACATCCGTTTCTGGACATTTGGGTTGCATGATTTGAACAAATCGTCGTACTTCGCAGAAAGTGTCTGTACCAAGACAGATCGAGACCTTGAGCATACGATCTGGTTCTATTCAACAGTGAAGCAGCAGCTTGTTCGTTGGCAGAATCTGCAGTCCATCCGATGGGCTCAACCGAGTAACGGACCGTGGGTGTGCTCTGCTCGTCAGACCAGGCCCAGCTGAGTTCAACGGGGGTGTGGTCGTCCGTCATGAAGCTCTCCCAACGAGGCGTTCTAACCGAAGGATACGGTCCGAGAGAGTCTGAGACGGCGGCCCCAAAGAACCCCAGGTGAACGGCTTTGGCCCTGTCGTCGTAGCCGGCCATGGTCATCATGGCGGACAGCGTCTCGCCCACCTCACGGTCCCAAGCCTGTACATGCGCGTCTCTGAGGAGCTCAGTAGTGATGAGATGAAGGAATCTGTCGTCAGATAGTCCGTTGTTACTGCCAGGTCTGTCGAAACGAATAAATTAGCACAGAGTCGTATTCAAAGGTATTGGAGAATGGGTACCTGGGTGTTATCAGATCCTCATGGTCTTGGTCTATGTAGCTCCCATGGCTGAAGTTTGGGAGACTATTCATATTTGCTGTAAATAGAAGCTTACGGTGCGATGTCTATTCAGTCGCTACCGTGAAGTCGTCGGTGAAAGAGGTCAAATCTGTGGGATGCATGAGCATAACTGAACACAACCCTAGTGTCGAGGAAGGCGTTTGGGCTCATTTAAATTTTCTCGAGAATTCATGTCCATAACATCAACTTTTCTGCGTGATAAAGGTGCATGGAAAAGTCTGGGCATTTTCCCAACTGAGTAATCGCCGCGCATGAGAATATGTTGGAGCAATGCGAGACGGATGTCAGCCCCGAATCACACAGTATCAACCCGATCCCTCATTCACTGCGCTGAAGACGAAGCTACACTGTCTTCTCCTCGACGAACCATATCCTGTCGATTGAAGATGAAACGTGTGGTTATGTAAATGTGTCGTCATTCTTGGTGCAATTGAGTCTCCTTATCAGAAGTTTCGAGCGAAGCATTTTGTCGGTGGCTCTCTGGAAAACCCGCTCCCGAGTTGTGAAGTATTCAGACCACGCCCTCTCTTACAGAAGCTTCTGTGGAGTTTGCGTATTAATAGCTTGATCCCAACCCGTGAAGTAAAATACATCTGATTCAGAGAGTGACGTTGGCAATGCCGCAGCTTATGCGTGGTCAATAGGATCCGACCCTAAGTCTTTCTCCCATCAGGTATTATGTATGCTTCTCTTTTCTCAGATCCCATGGTACACGACTAAACTTCACCAAGTCTTGAGGCTGAAGGAATTTGTTGGAGGAATGCACTCCATGTAGTTTCACTACGGACATGTTAACAACGACCCCAAGATGCATGCGCCACGTTGCGACCCTCCACTGATTGAAATAAAAACCCGTCCACCGGCCTTGGTCACATTGTCATGAAGTCGTGCGATTGATCACGTTGTTACACAGGCTCACCCGCCAAGGACGTTGCAAAGCGTGTCAGACAGAACCCTTTCTCAATGCGGTAGAAACAAGTCTTTACTTACGTCCAGTTTATTCCCACCGAAGAAAAAAAAATTGAGAAAAAAGCAGAGGTAGACACGCAGACGCCAAGAACAAGTCCTACTTTATGTTGGGCCTGCTTATGTACCGCTGTATACACGCCATTCTGGTCTTAAACGTCGTGTCCTTCAGCGCAAACACATATATACCTCGCATTCTGTTCACCGAGACACAGAGGATGACACGTTCGTCCCTTTTCTCATCACTGTCATTCCATCGTCATCAATTATTACCTCGTATCAATCGGACACATTTTCACCGTCCCGAACCGTACCCGTATCGGCCCGGCCCCGGCCCCGCATCCGCATCCGGGAGGCAAGCACACACACCCAAACCGATCCTTCAAGCCCGCGCGAGCTGTGGAGAAGGTTGCACCGCCTCAGCCCGGCAAGACGCAACCCCCTTTTTCTCTCCGTGGGCTGGCTTCCATCTGACACCTGCGAACCCCTGAACCTGCCCCCTTTAGCGTGCTGCAAAAAGAAGACGCTAAGATAAGGCGCGCGCGCGCTGACGCTTCGGAGCTCAAGATAACGATAACGACCCTGCACGGACCAAGCTTCTCCAAAAAACTTTTGGGATGCCGTTTTCCAGCTCTGCCTCCATACCTTGGTCTCGAGTGCTTTTGTCGCAAACAGCTTCGACGACGAAGCGCAAATCCTGCCTCCACGCGAACAAGTCAAGTGTCGTCCCACACGGCGCGAGAACAGCCCAGACGCTTCGCAAAAGACAGACACACCATGGCACCCTCCTCAGAACCCGCCCAGTCGGCGCCCAGGCTCCCCGCCTCGGCAGACTTCAACGCAATCTACAACAGGATATCCCTCGCCTCCGCAAAACAGACGACGTTCCTCAACTCCATGCGCGCAAAATACCCCTCCCTCGCGCGATCGTCTTCGTCGTTAGACTCGACTTCCGCACCCGCCAACAACGGCACATTCTCCTCCCTCACGAAACTGTCACCCGCGGCAACGCCTACGACCACAACGACCAGCAGAACCCGCGTGGCAGACGACTCCGACCTGCGCTTCGAGAATCCCAACACAGGCCTCGGCTACGCCGCGCCCAAGTCCGAGGAGCAGGCTTCCGCGGCAAAGCGGGACTTGAGCCGTCGTCTCCTTGGCAAGCGTGGCCGTGAAGTCGACAACAAGACGGCGCAGAAGCGCAGGGTTCAAGAAGAGGAGAGCGAGGAAGAGGAGGGACGGAGCGGACTTGGCCGAAAGAAGAAGACCAAGAGGGTCAGGATGGATGAAGAAGATGTTCCCGAAGCGGGCGATGTTGTTGTTGTACCAGATGTCGAGACGCACCGAGGCGACGCGGAGGCCGGCGTCTCCGAAGCGAGACCTGAAGATGCCATACGGTTAGGGAAGGCGGTGGTACCCGAGACAGGCGAAGCCAAAACAAAGAAAAAGAACAAGAAGAAGAAGAAGACGAAGAAGGTGGATGGTAGCGTCTAAGCGCAGAAGCCCGAACGGTTGTCGTCGTCGTCGTCGTCGTCTCCGGGACGGTGGTAGAAACGGATCAAAACGGCGCTGAAGACAAGGCGCAGATCGACATTTGTTTGCGGCTGGCTCCCTTGACCCGAAGCCTTGGGACCTAATCTCACGGAAAACGTCATCGGCCTGCCTCCCTTGTCGGCGTCGTCGGGCGCATTTTTCAAGTCCCAGATCGACGGTCACCGCGGTCGACAGCAACTTAAATCAGTGAAAATTATGTTCTGCATTGGCATTCGGTGTTGCATTGCACCTTTCCCACACTAGATCCGGCCAAGACCTATTCGCCATGGCCCCATATCGAAAGCCACACATAGCTGGTGCTCCTATTAATCAGATATGGAAAATGCTTCAAATCACCTCATTCCTCTGACGCATCCTAAATGCGGTATCGCCAACGCAATTATTCCCCCATATGGACAAATCCTGACAAATCCCGCCGCCGAGTGTCCGTTGGGTATTCCTCTTCCTGAGCTCCGACAGTAAACATACAGCCTCCATCTGAGAGGGGAAAATATGAGAAAAGGGTCGCGCGATCCGTACTGGGTCTGGTTCTGTGACACCGCAAGGGCGCTGAATTACTAAGACTGTGTGGTGTATGTTTTTTTGTGTCACGCAAGCCCGCCGTGGATGCTGTGTAAATGCGTGTAAATCGATAAGGGGTGTAGAACTTTTGACTGTGAAGAAGTATCCAGATGAGCCGTCCACTTGGGGATAGAAAATGTTTGACCAGGAGCCTGATCCGATTATGTTGTGGCCGTGGGCTTCGTATACGTTTCGGGTCTCGTTTTTGGTGGACGGCCGTGGAGGAGGTATCCGTGCAAAATCATATGCCGGCCCGAATCCGGCACCACCTTTCTTCCTCTATACAAAAAGGAAACGTTTCCGACTTTCATCCGGTATTTGTCACAAAATGTACGGGCGCCTCGCCGTGTAGCGCGACATGCGCCGGCGCGCCGAAACAGCATCGCAAGCTTGGTCACTGCATTCGCTTGCGCTTGCGGTCATCGTCACCGCGCGGATCCTCGTCCTCGTCATCCCTCTCGGCTGTGTCCGTCGGGTTGAGGATGTGGGCCATGCTGCCGCGCCGAGTAGGAGGTCCAGAGCTGTCCCTGACGGACAGGTTCTTATTGTCTCTATTGGCCGAGTTCCATGACCAGGCTCCAAAAACTTCTCCGCCGCCGTTGGAGAATGGCGCAGGAGGAGTTGCGGGCCGGGAAAGAGGGCGTGACTGAGTAGCACCTTGTAGTGAGTAAGTAGACAACGACTCCCTGAGACGTTGGTCCTCTGGTGCGAGCCGACTGGGCGACGATGGCCACGGTCCTGAAGGGGCCCCGGAGGGAGGACCGGAAGCGAACGGCGGGGCGGCTGGCTGCCAACCATGCGCGCGAATATCGGCAGACGTGTGGCGTCTGGCAAGGCTTCCAGGAGGCGGCTCAACCTGAGCCAAGGGATGAGGTCCCGGCGGAGGTGGAGGTGGCGCTCCCCTCAAGGGAGATGAGGCCTGGGGCGCGGAACTCCCGCCAATTGACCCGTACGGTCGTCGCGTGCTAATGGATAAGTTTGAAGGTACGGGAGGCCGGTAGAAATTCTGCCCTCTTGGCTGAGGAACTGCAAGATTGGCTCGTCTTGGGTCGTCTTGGGGTACTTGTCGGGGCGAAACAGGGGCATTTTCGACGTTGGAAAAATAAGCTCGGCTATTGGCGAAAGGGGACTCTTGAGGGTCGTCAATTGTCCGAAGCATATCCGCCTGGCGGGCCATTTCCGCCTGCAGGTTAAGAACTAATTGCTGACTGTCAGTGAATTCGCTCGCCCTTACAAGAGGCGGAACTCACCATCTCTGTGAACTGGATTATCTGGGCTAGGAACCAGGTTCAAAATAGTCCGCGATAGCTCTTGATTGAATTGAAGGAGACGCGACATTGTCTCCATCACAGCCTGTTGTTTCACGTGCATGTAATGTGCGTTCTCTTCGCTTCTCTGCAAGCGCATGCTCATATCGTAAAGCGTGTGTTCAATGCCACCCATTCGAGGATCTGAGCCGTCGTTGGGAGGGGGCATCGGCTCCGCCGGGGTCCCTGGCTGCGACGGGCTCGGCTTGGAGTTGGGATATTCTCGGTGGACTAAAGCATGCCGAGAAGCTCTGCGCTTAATCTCCCGCAGCCCGACGAGATCGCCCCTTTTGAAGTTGCCATTTCCGTGCTTGAATTCCCACAGAGCAGTCTCCGGGTTGGTAGTGTGAAAAACATCGCTTACTACGTCGTGTCAGCCTTGGAACTTGCCCGTATTCGAGCTGAGCGGCGTTCTAACCTTTGTGAAATCCGTACATGTTAAGCTGTCGAACGAAAGAGGATATGTTGGTATGCTTGAAATATTGCCTATTCTCAGATAAGCCATTGGCCAGAGTAGATTGGGACAAATTCACGTACGCGAGAACCTTGGAAAAGTCTGCCGACGGAGACATAACGAAGCTCTCGGCGCTCGCTGACCACGATATCAGGTGCTGGATGCTGGGATCTTCAAGCATGCTGCGTTGCATTAGCCAACCCCCTCTTTTGAAGCAGCATCTATTGCTCACCTGTACAGCTTGTGGATGAATGCAGTCTGGACAATCTTTGGCTGGTGGACAGCCGCGGCGGCAGCGGCTGGCGCAGCGGGCATTGTGACTGAGGGATTGGGGTCGGTGGGAGAAGTATTTTTACGGTCGCCGTTGGCGTCTGGATCGTGCTTGGTGGAAGGTGAAGAGGAGCTAGGGTTCGCAGAGGAGGTTATCTCCATTGGCTCACCAGGAGATGGAGCAGACATTTGGATAGTGGGTGTTGGAGTCGGGATAGGTACGATTCGGTTCGACGTCAGATCGGCATGGCCGTCGGCAGGCAGAGGAACTCTCTGCGGGCTCTCAGTCACGGTTGCCATCCCCTCTACATGGTGCAAGGATACATGTTAGCTTGCGAGACACGGGCGCAAAGGATCGAAAGGGAATGCGGGTTGGGGTGGGCAGTGGCGATGGAAGACAGAACCAGGGCGCCAGCGAGCGTGGCAGCGGAGGACCTGAGCAGACATTTGAAGGGCTTGTCTCACCTCATGGCTTCTTGGGAGGAGCAGGCGCGGAAGTGGATTCTGCACTGGTGCGCAACGAGAAGGTATTGAGCACTAGGCAGGCGGGAGCAGGCGAAAGAGTGCTCAGGGGTTTCTCTTGGTGGATCGCGAAGTCGTGGAAGCGATGAGTCGCAGGCAATGTGGCATATGGGTGTCTCTGTCCACAGGTGCGACTGGCAATAGCGAGGTGGATTGAGACAGGCGAGGGTAGGTGAAGGGTTGAAAACCGGTGCGCGTTTCCGTCCTTGATGGTCGGGGGTATGGTCCGTCTCTGGTCTTTGTTCCAGGGCTAGCGATATTTTGGGGAATTCCAAGCAAAGGGCTCTCGTGGAATGTAACGAGAGGGAATGCAAAAGATGCTGGAGCAGTTGTCCAACAGTGGCGGCGACGTAGGAAGAGAGTTGCAGAGTGAGATGAAGGTGAGGTGGAAGTGTAGAAGTTCTAGAGTTCGAAAGGAAGAAGAAGGGTTGTCGAAGGACAGGGCGGCCGGCAAAATGACGACGAATGGGGAGACAAGGACGAGGGACGGGGGTGTTTGCTGGCGAAGGTTAAAGTGGCTGACTAGATCGATAGTCGGTCGGATCTGAGGAGAGAAGGAGTGCAAGCACGGAGGGCGGGAGGTGTGAGGTGGTGGTGTATCCGTACAGAAACAGCCCAGACGAAGAAGTGAGGTACCGAACCGTCCTGGGTCGTTTGGAGCAGCAGCAGCAGCAGCGCGCCCGCAATGAGGGAGTCCGGGGAAAGGAGACAGATAGAGAGGACAAGGTCGAGGTACCTCCTTGATGAGTGGTAAGGTATTCTATCCCAAGTCCCAACCTATCAGGCAGATGCAGCGACAGGAGCTCTCTGATGCCAGCACCTCCTTGATGCAAGGTAGGTAAGGTAAGGTAAGGTAGGTAAAGCAGACCAGACCAGGGGAGGGGAGAGAGATGGTTGGTGCAGCTCCGCGCAGCAGTTGCAGTAGCAGGTGCAGTAGTAGTAAGGTCGGGTAATAGTTGTAGCAGAAGCTGCTGCAGTGGGTAGAGAAAACAATTTGAACGTAAAAGGAGAGGAAGAGAGAGGTTGATAGAAAGGCAAGGAGATTCAATCCAATGCACACACACGCACACGCAAACGCACAGTGAAAAGAGAGAGAAAGAGTGCGCGAGAGAAGCCGAAGGTGGGAGAAGGAGTGTGAGAGGGAGGTGTGGCGCCTGTCCCACTGAGTGAGGATGTTCAGGATGTTCAGGTCGGGGAAGGCGTGGTTGATGATGGGAGCTTGCTGATTGGTCCCGAGGGGGGTAGATGAGGGGCCGGCTTTGTATGGGGCGGACCACCTCTGGTAAATGCTCCTTACCCTACGGGCACTTTACTTTACTTACAGCGAATTTTTAGGGGGATGAGTACCCATACTGTACATTCAGGTAAGGTAAGGTAAGGTGGAAGAAAGAAAGGGGATGGATGGGATGCAGCATGGGAAAAGTGGATGATGAGCTGTGGGTTCAAGGTTGGGTGGTGGTGGTGGTGGTGCTGCCAGTGGAAGGGAAAGGCGAAAGAGGGGTGCACTGGTGGGTGTGGTCCCCGCTGGTCACCTCAAGCTGGGAATGGAGGGTGAGAGTGGAAAGGAGTGGACAATTGCTGCTGGGATCATCACCGCGAGGTACTTTTCCCCCCAGGCCAGCCCAGTCTAGCACCAGCACAGCACAGAACCAGAACCAAAACCAAACACCATCCAGCACCATCCAAGAGCAGCAGACAGAGTGCGAGCAGCGAGTGAGTGCCGCCCGCCGTAACTTGCAGACAACTTGCAGAGAGTTTAGTTCGGGTGTTCCCCAAGTAGTGTACCCAAGGTAAGGTGAGGTAGGGGACACTCGACGCAAGGCATGCAGGCACGGTGCCTTGCCTCATGTATGTATGTAATGTACCTACCTTACCTTACCTTACGCAGTATGTACCGACTAAGGTACGCAATAAGGTAAGAAGGCATGGCAACGCACGTTGGAAATGATGGCGCCGCCGGGCCCGTACCGCTCAGGGTCAAAGTTTGGCTCGCCTGTCTGTGTTCTGAATCTGAATCCAAGAGGCGTCCACTTGAGATGAATACCCGACCTGTTAGAAACCCCTGACAGAATGTCCTTCCAGAAGGAGCACACAACTCGCTCTGCCTCTCTCTCTCTCTTTCGGTCTCAACTGTCCTGCCCTGGATTGACCTCGCCTGAGTGCACTGAATGCAAATGTGGCCAATCTTCTCTTCGTCCGTTTCATTTCATCAAGGACTTCTGCATCGACGACACGACCTCAGAATGCTTGCTTTCCAACCCCGGCACCACCTCACCAGTCTAGGCAAGGGGCTAGTCAATGACGACGGGCCCTGCCTCGAGGCTACAGCCTACTCCAGCTAACTAACCATCCAAGGTAGCTGCGTGGAAGAAAGAAAGCAGCAGCTGACTTTGCCTTATTTGAACCGAGTACTGAGCGAGAGCTGAATCACACAAAGAAGCTCAGCCATGCCATGCCATGCCGTGCCGTGCCCGGGGCCTTGCACATGAAAATCCATCATTCGTGGCCCAAGGACTCGGCCCGTCGTCACACAGGGCCCCCGAACTCCCCAACTTACACAAATCCAAAGCTACTTCGGCACATGTGCAAAGTAGTTAAGGCAAGGTAGCTGAGGTACGGAGTACCCGTACCGTACCGTACCATACCATGGGTAAAAACGCATATCGGGTGAAGTACCCATCCTGCAAGCTGGTCGTTATGCCGCTTCATATTCTGATATCTCAGACAGATTCCTGTGGAGGTGTTGCCGTTGTCTCTGCCACTCTGCGCCTGCGCAGGGCTTGTTTGTGATGCAGAGAGCCATAAGGCAGCAGGAGGAGCTATGGTCAGTAGATGGACACGACAGAGGGCCTCGGACAACCTTGAAAATACCCCCAGATGCGCGCCCGCCCGTACGCGAGGTACCCTAACACCGTACCTACCTAAGGTGAGGTAGTCAGCAAGACGGTCGGCATGGCCTTGCTTTAGCATGTCGCCTCTATTCAGCCGCTGGTCGGAGCCGGGCGCGCTGTAAGGTAGCGGATGGTCCAGGCGACATCCAACACAGCATTTGTTAGAAAGCAAAAGGGCAGGCGGGTGTTGTTACGTGCCTAAGTCGGGTTTGTAGCGTGTGTGGGCGGGCAGGTGGAACAGACTCTGCCTTACCTTACGCTCACTGCACCTGCCAGACTAAAAAGTAAGTAAGGTACGACGTTACGTTGTACATGCCTGCCTCTCTGCGTTCTCTCCCTTCTAAGTGTACTCTCTACGGACGTCAGCCTACCTAGGTAGCTTACCTCACCTTACCTTACCTAGGTACCTAACCTAACCTGAGGTCGTAGGCCCGTCTCTTGTTCCCGGCGTCATGTTCCTGCCTCCCGAACATCCTCCACGCCTGGGCAGCTTGCCAGCTTCCTCTCTGTGTCTCTCCTTCACCCCCGTGGCCGTGGCCATGGTCGTGGTCGTGGTCATGGTAAATGTCTCCCTCACCCCTGGTCGCCCACCGCCTCTCCCTGATCACCCCCCAATCTCAAGTCTCACCTCAATCTCACATCAACCCCAGCAAGCCTTTACCTTGTGCAACCTGACCGACACCACCGCCGACATGAATATGCCATGATGGCAGATGCACATCACCGCGTTCCAGTCTCTTCGTTGACTCTCGTCTCGCTCTTTGTCTCCCCACCCCCGTCCACGCCTCTGCTTTCTTCTCCCGCTGCTCGCCTCCAGCTCCTCCTTCTCTGACACGCTGTCTCACCCATGCAGCCAAAGATCTGGTCCTCAATCGCCAATCGTCGCCGCCTGGACGCACACACTATTATCTGCCAGTACGGATACCAGCCAATGCCTGTTCTCCAAACCAACCGAGAGCTCAGATGCCCAGATGCGGCCGCGACCGGGGGTGTGGGTGGAGAAGACCCAAGGGCCGCTTGCTAGTCGACGTAGTGTACGAATACCTCACCTCACAGCAGCTACCACAGTACGTCTAGCAGTAGCACATACACCGCCGCTATTCAAGCTCGCCGCCCTCTCTTCCGCCGCACCACGCCTTCCAAGGCAACGGACAACCTCCTTTGGTAGGCACACGCAAGTGACAGTCAAGCCCAACCCCCATGCCATGATATGCCGACCTGCAGCTTCGCTCTCACTCAGGGTCGATATGATACTTCTTCGGGGCTTGCGTCAGGTCGAGGGACACACAAATGTCATTGACACATCCCAAACGCACAACGACATGAGCGGCAGGCAATCATCCCCACAGGACGCCGCAAGTCAACTCACACCGGTATCGTTTGTGGACTACACCCATCTCCCAACTTGCAGCCTTGCGCCCGCAGCCGTTTGCTTGGGATGGCCGACAAGCCAACTTGACCCGTATTTCCCTTCAGGTCTGTGTCTTCCGACACCGAGCGAGCGGCGATCTGGGCAAAGCTGGGGAAACGGTCGTCTTGGACTAAGTGGCCCCAAGCTCCCCGTCTCACCCGGCGGTTCATTAGCCAGCCAGGGCACCGGACGGGTGTGGTCTTGACTAGACGCCCGCGACTGGCGGGCTGGCCAGCAACTGCACTGGCCTCCATGCAACACACTTCGTGCAATCTCGATCAGCAGCGGTTTGCAGTGAGGATGGCCCGCAGACCGCATGCACCTGGCTTTGCTTCAAAGTCCGTGCTTTACGGCACTGGAAACTGTTCAGCATGTGGTATGTGGAGTGAAGGTCCTCATCAAATCGACCCTGGGTCTTGGGTACGCAGGAGCTTCAGAGCGGCTTTTGCGCAAGCCTCTCTGCGTCCTTGTGTCTTGCCGTGGCGTGATGACGGATTCTGCCACTCACCAATGGCGGCCGCTTTCACACCCTTCGAAGGAGACCATCATCTAAGACCAGAGTTTGGGCTAGTGCTGCCTGTGGTAGCTAACGCAGGGCCGCAATCAGTCCAGGAATGGCGGAACATTTGAACCGGCCAGACGGTGCGCTTCTGTTTCAACGGCTTCGCTTCTTCTTAACGCTATCCACTCGCTTCGGGCCATCAGAGCTTTCATATCAAGACCTCCGCACAGAGAAGTGGCAGCTGTCCAGGCCCGTCCAGCCGCAGATAGAGAGGAACGAGCGGAACCGTTAGATCGGCATGGCCATGGCCATTGTTACCCTCCCTGCTTGTTGTGCTGGCGGGAACTTTGGATGCGGCCGATCCAGGTGAACGACTGCGTTGCTCCAAAGGATCATGATGCTGGCAGAGGCACAAATTTCTTGCAAACAACATCATTGGAAGGGAATATGAATCGCGGGTGTGGATAGGGTCAATTATCGATGAATCAGACCAGGCATGGGGAAGCGCAGCAAGCGGCTGGAAAACATGTGCCGACCCATAGGCCCTTGCACTCGGAAAGAAAGTACTCGGGAAGAAAGCCTTCTCGAACCCCCAAGGTTGTGCTGAGAAGGGTTGACGTGCAGACGCGAGGAGCTCCCCAGACGCGTCGTGTTTGCCCGGAACGACCATGATCCACGGCTGCGCTCTGGGGAAAGCTTCCGGGCAGAGGGACTGCGGATGTGGACAACTTCCGACTGCAGACAAGCCAATTGACAGGAGCCGCCTAGCTACAGGAACGACCCTAGTTCTCTACTTGTCTTGATGCGCAAAGACTCAGCTTCGCTATTCCCTATGGACCGGGCCGGCGAGGGCCAACCTAGACCAACGGCCATAGCGTCAAGCAGAGACCTGAATTTCCCCTACAATCCCTGCCCCTGGACGGAGTTAAGACGACGACATATGTCCAAATCTGACTTGTGAACATGTTGGCAGAAACTCTCTGGCTCGTCTTGCCAGAGCCAAACGACGTCGGTTGCAAATCTCGAGGATCATGAGAACATCCGTAGCCAAGAACGAACATTGCAGCGAGAGCGTCTTTTGCGTCGGGATCAAGAAAACCTTCAACAAGGCATCTTGCAGGGGCTCCACATGGCATGTGGTTCATCGCGCTGCATCCGACCATCTCGTGTTCCACCGAGTTATAGCAAAAGCAATCTTCACATCACATGCTGAGAGCTGGTATTGGCCGAGCCGATCAAACCATTCAGAGATTGCCTCGAAGGCTGCCAGCGAATACCTTCCTTTTCGGACACCTGCTGGGGCGTTCATTCAGCTGCTAGCCTGCCATTTACCCCCCTCGTTTTGGTTTTTCTTCTGAGATTTGCATCTCGCCAGGACAAGGTTCTGAGTGGTATTTCAGCTGCTCGATGCATACTCATCCCTACTCTCTTCATCGACTTCGTTGTATGGACACGTCAACGGAAATATGCTGGGGAATGAGCATCACGCCGGACTACCCTCACGACGAATGGTGGTACGTGACCGTTCAGCCTCCAACACGTTCTCAGGAGCCATTCGCATCCTCTTGATTGAGCATTTTGACTTCACCCCAAACGAAGAAAGTTGTGGATGGCGGCCTGAGCGAGCGAACCGCAGTCTCAATGTTTCAGCGGGACCGCCCTGGCCTTGTGCGGTGACCAGAAATCCAGCGCTACAGATTTTTAAGGGGACCTTCGCCTGGGTGGGAAAAAAAAAAAAAAAAAAAAAAGGAAAAAAGACCACTGAATGGGAAATGCTACAGCAACTGGGATCGCGCACGTCGACGTTGTCGATCCGACAAAATCTTCAACCTGCGATGGGCTTTTTTCAAGACGCCTCGTAGTCTTTTGCCTGATCCGCTTCCGATGCGACGCGATCCTGCTCCGGCGAACTCTCGCTTATTGGCGTTCTGCTAGGAAGCGTTAGCCATGTAACATTCCCCGACTGCTGACGACTCGACCTTCTAGAAGTTTGGTTCCCCCTGAGTGACTCCTGTTGGCTCTCGAATAATTCTTTGTGGCATCGAACCCTGAAGCCCGGCTCGCTGTCCGGTCTGTTGTCGCTGACGAGCCACCACCATTCGTCGCATGTGCTTCGGTCTTTGCCTTATCGCCGTTCAAGGCATAAGATGGGGTTTGACGGCGCAAAACGCCCATTCAACAACCTACACTTGGCTTTGTAGAAGCTCACTGGCAAGATCCACCCCGTTCGATTGAACTCTAAATCTTGATCCCACCACGTCGCATGCCGGATATGGTTGTTCATCCTTCCGCCCCCTGCCTAGCGAGGCAACGGACTCACGGGGACTCAACGTCTCATACCGGTTCTGCAAGAAGCACGCAGAGGGCAGATTGCAATCAAATCATGCATGCGGGCGGCATCAACTTTCCGTAATGTACCAGCGGTGTGCCCGCCAGAACCTTGATTTTGCTTCCACGGCTGCGTGAAATCAGAGCCATCAGGCCAGCTCTGACTGCGGTTCTATATCTTTATTGTGTTATATCGACCGGAGAATGAGGCCGCGGAACTTTGACGCCTGTTCCGTCTGGCATTTCCGCGATGCCTGTAACCCCCGGAACCGACGTTGTCAAAGTTCGGCTGGGTCTCCCGAACAAGACCATGGGCAAGGGGGTTCCATTGAACAGGGGCCGGAGTGGTGGCCGAGCTAAGGGCGAGGCACGTCGAATGTGATCGACACGAGACGAGACCACACGACACTCTTTCACTTCCAAAACCTGCAGGGCCGAGATACGTCCGCAGATGGAAATTACAAGAATCTCATGTCATCGTTGTGAACACGCTGGCCCCCCTCTGCCAGGATGTCCCGATTGATGCTGAGTCGCTTTGGTCTCTTCGGAGCTCCCAACTTACTTTGACGGAGGAGCGTCGGATCCGGGTTCGCGCGTGTTTGGTCTCATGCAACCGCCCAAGTCAGACGTTATGCCGTCAAAAGCTGGGAAGCTCAAGACTTCCCCATACGGCCGGCGAGGACAACCACCACCTTCACCACCTTGCAGGGAGACAAGCTGTCGGAAGGTCCGCGAGGCATGGATGCCATGATGTCCCTCGGGCTCGAGCTCCCATGGAACGTTTAAAGCCATCGTATTGGAGATGAACCGCAACACACCAACTCCCGCGCGGCATGTTGTGGCACTCGATTTCGACCGGACAGATCTCCGCACGACGCTGCACCCGCGAAGGTCCCTGCACCGCCAAACGACATCCTTCCTTGACATTATTCATTCTATTGGTCTTCCCACATTATAAACATGACAAGAAACACGATGGCGACCCAAACCACGCCAGCGCGCCCAATAGCTAGTCATTAACGCGCAACACCCAGAAAGACAAACGCAGGCCACAGGCTGTCTTATCATGTCATCGTCCAAACACCTTTTTCTTCTTACCTTTCCGCGGGATATACTACATGTACAGACGGGAAGGTCCCCCATCCAAACAACCATGAAACCCACCGTCCCCGGCAGCCGAGACGACGGGGGTTGTCCTTACCACCCCTTCCCAATCGTGGGGGTGTGTGATGATGGAACAAGTCTAAAGCTCGTCGTCGAGGTCCATACCGCTGACCCTCCGCTCTCCGATCTCGCGGATCTTGTCACCCAGGATCGACCGCCCGTACCGCTCCGCAACCTTGCCCGCCGCCTCGATCATACGGCCGGTCCGATCGCGCATGAGACCCACCAGCTCGAGCGCGCGCATGCCCCGCTCCTCGCCCTCCCGGCACTCGATGGCCAGCAGCTGGAGCAGGGTCTTGTCAAAGTCGAGCTCGAGGCGCGCCAGGCCAGCCCGCTGCGAGAGCGTCGAGTCGGTGTGGTCGATGAGGTCGCGCAGCTGGGCCGTCTGCACGCCCGAGAGGAGAAGCTTCTGCTCGAGCTTGCGCGACTCGCGGCGGGACTCATCCTCGTCGTCCTCCTGCTGCTCTTCCGAGTTTGCAGCCGGCGCCGGAAGCGGGGCGGAGCTGATGGGCACGGAGAAGTCGAACTCGGAAAGCAGGGGCCGGGGGAAGTAAGGATACTGATCCCCGCCCTTCAAGATAATACAATGGAACTTATTATCGGCCACGGCAATGGGCCAGTACGTCTCCGTCTTGCGCCCAGATGCCAGGCGCGGGAGAAGCTTTGTGTCGAGGAGGGGAACCCAGCAAGCGCGCGACGGCTTCCTCCAGTGCAGCAGTGTGAGCAACGTCCCCGTCGAGTCATAAATGCAAGGATCCTGAGTCGGTGTTTGTCAGTATATCCGAAGGAGCAAAAAAGGGGTGTGTATTGAGCATGCTGCAACTCACGCCATTGTCCGAGAAGAAGACGCTCTGCAACGTCGCGCCATCGGTTAGTGCGACCGTATCTTCGTTTTGACAGATCTCGTCCCGCTTGATATTCTCGATCGTGTACAGGAGACGGGCGTTGCCGTCCGCACCGACGGCGCCGTTGCCCATTGTGATGACATAGTCGCGCCAGCTGGCACAGGTGACCATGGGGGTGCTCTTGGGGCGGTACACTCGGTACGGCACGCCGAAGAGGGTGTATATGCGGACGTAGTTTGCCGTCGTGGTGACGGTGAAGAATGAGTCGCTCAGGGACATGGCGACGACGGCCTCACCCTTCGGCAGTTGGGTGCGCCAGTCGGTCCGCTGTGTCCATGTCTCGTGCGGGCGGTAGAAGATGGTGGCGGGGGTATCGTCGCGCGGAGGGCAGGCGAACAGGGCGCCATGCTCTGTCAGACACGCCTTGTCATACAGGTAGGTGTCTGTGAAGTGGAAGTCACGGTGAAGCTCGTGGTCGTAGAACTCGACCGTGACAGTGTTGTGGCCGTCCTGGTCGACGGTCCAGACGACGCCGATCAGGTTCAGGCAAAGATACTTGCGGTTGCCGCGCCAGGGTGTCGAGCCGGGCTGGAAGGCTTCGTGAAGCGTTGACTCCATCATACGGCGCTTGTTTGCGCGCTCCCCGTCGCCGCCGCCTTCGTGAGGCCGCTTCTTCCCTGTCGAGTAGCCTGCGCCGTCGTCGTCAACAACAAAATCATCCCCATCATCGTAGCCATCTGCGCCGTTCAGGAACGAGTCCAAGCTACCGAGCGAATCACGCCTCGGTCGCGATGGGATTCCCGCCTTGCCGTTAGGCTCTGGCCTCCTGGCGTTGTTGGAGATCTCGGCAAGAGGGTCGTGGATGAAGGGTGCAGGCTGGCGCGGCAGGGCCAACAGGCCAGCAAACTGCTCGGTGATGAGGTTGGGATAGATGTAGACCTCGCCGTCCGAAGTTGTGAAGGACAGCAGGTTGTCCTTTGGATGCCACGTAATGTCGATAACGTTGCTGTAATCGAACTTTTGGATCACGCTCTGCGTCTTGGTCTCCCAGATGAGGAGCTTGCCGTCCTTGCCCGCCGTGGCCAGCATGGCACCGTTCGGCGACCACGCAATCGCCGTGATGTCGCCCAGGTGGCCGTTCGGAAACGTCCTCTGCTTCTCCCAGTCGTTCTTGGACACCACCTGCACATCGTGCATCGGCGTGGGCACCGCAAAAGCCCTCCCGTCCGGGTGCCACGCAATCTTGGCCGAGTTCTCTGAATCAGACTCCAACGGTCCGAGGACGCCGTCCACCTTGCGAATCAGCTCCGGCGTGTCCGCCGTCAAGGAGTACACGTAGATGACCCCGTCCGTACACGCCAGCGCGAGCATGCCGCCCTTGGGGTCGAAGGCCAGATGCTTCGTCGGCCGCCCGTGCTCCTTGAGCGTGCGGATCTGCGAGTTGTCCTGCGTGTCGACGACCTTGACCGTCAGCTCGTCGCTCGCAACGGCGCACCACTTGCCGTCGGGCGACAGCGCGACGTCCCGCACGGGGAGCGACGTGCGGACGAGGTAGCGCTCGAAGGAGGTGTTCTCGACGCTGTAGAGGCTGACGGTGCCGTCCTCGGAGCCGACGACGAAGAAGTCGTCCGCGGCGGCGACGGCGCAGTTCTGCTCGGGGCATTCGTCAATGTTGTAGGGCTCGCCGTCGTGGTGGGTGCGGTAGAGGCGGATCGTGTTGTTCGAGCCGACGGTGACGAGGCGCGCGCCCGACGGCGTGTAGGCGAGGCGGGTTGTGCCCGAGGTGTGCGCCGGCCGGGGCCGCGGTTTTGGGGCGACGGAGGAAGACATTGTATATGTGTGTGTGTGGGGTTTCTCAATTGGAGTGCATTCGTTTGTTCTATTGGCCTTGAAATTTTGGAGGGTTTCGTGGGGCAGGGTGATTTCGCCGTAGTCTTCCTTCAAGTATCGGTTCAAGATAATTGCTCGAGGTTCGGCGATGGTGGTGACGGTGGTGGGACGGCGGCATTGAAGAAAGTCGCGTCTGAACGCGTTCCCGGCGCGAAATCAATTTAGCAACTGACAGGGGCCCAATGGATCCCCCGCCATCGAGCAGTACGTACCCTGCCGATGATGGCCGTCTGGTGCCAGCTGGACAGCGGCTTGACGTCCACAGAAATACATCGCAGGCATCCGAATTGATGAGAAATACAGACCGTGAGTGGGATCGGGCGGTTTGGACTTATATCAATCAGGCACCGATAATCGCCTTGTTCTTGTTCATTCCTATACCCCCTCATATTTCTTGCGATCTTGGGAGGAAAGCATCTCACCAAACATCCAAGTTCGGGATCACCATTTGAGCATTATCAGTCACCAGTGAAAAAGGAGTGAAATACCCAAGATGGAGTCATCAAACCAGGAACATTTCTTTGAGACGGAGTAAGTGCCGCGTCCGCCTTCACTGCCACGAAGGAACCAGTTTCTAAAGAAATAATAGCGCCCAGCAGGCCAAGCGCCAGCAGCGTGCCCAGAAGGAGGAAAACACGTTTGGCAACCCGCTCCGCATGGCCTCCAAAGTCCTGGCCGTGATCCCGGATCCCAAGAAGGCGAACTCAGTTTACACGGCCGAGTCTGGCGGCAGGGTCTCCCGCGTTGACACCGAAGTACGTCCTCAGCGCTGCAACATCATCTCACACCCTGGCCATGTCGCGACCACGTCGTGAGAAAGTAGGCACATGGAAGACTAACCAGGGGCAGTCACGAACCGCCACCGCAAAGTACACCGGTCCCTCCGTCCCCGTGACGTGCCTCGCCATCGGCGGGCAGGACAACTCCATTCTCTTCGCCGGAAGCTGGGACAAGGCGGTGTGGTCATGGGACGTCGTCACCCGCAAGCCCCTCCGCCGCTACGACGGACACTCCGACTTCGTTAAGGCGGTCGTCACCGGCAAGATCGGGGATAAGCACGTCCTGGTCAGCGGCGGGGCCGACAAGAAGATTATCGTGTGGGACGTGGAAGCCGGGCGCAAGCTGCACACGCTCCAGGACGCGGCGTCCGGGGCGAGCATGATGTCGCTGCAGTCCCTCGCCGTCGACCCCGTCCTCAGCACGAAGGAGGAGCTGGTGATTGTGAGCGCGAGCAGCGACCCACACATCCGCCGGTGGAAGGTCAGCCTTGGTGGCGCCTCGCAACTACCTACCGAAGTCAAGGGCGCCGAGGACAAGCTTACGATTGAGGAGCACGAGACGAGCGTCTACAAAGTCGTCTTTGACGTCACGGGCGACGAGGTGGACCTGTGGACGGCGAGCGCGGACGGTACGGCCAAGTGTCTGCTGAGAGAGAAGAGCTTCACGGCCGAAGACGCCTTCGAGCATGGCGACTTTGTCAGGGCCATCGCGTTGACGGACGAGTGGGTTGTCACGGGCGGCATCAGCCAGGTCATCAAGGTCTGGGACCGTACGTCGGGGAAGCTCTACGCCTCCATCGACGCGCACTTTGACGAGATCACGGACTTGATCGTGCTGAGAGACCCGTCGCCGGGAAGGCAGGACGTCCTGTGCAGTGTTGGTATCGACTGCACGCTGCGGACATGGCCGCTTGATAGGAAGGGTCTGGACGGCGTTGTGGAGGAAATCCAGGCGGCGGCAGAAGGCAAGGAAAAGGTGGAGGAAAAGCAGGAGGGCCTGATGACGGCTGAGGAGGAGGCTGAGCTGGCTGCCTTGATGGAAGATGATTGAGTGTTTGTGATGGAAGATGATTGAGTGTTTGCTGAGTCAATGACGTGATGGAAGCCCTTCATCGCGTGTTGAGAGCATGATTGCGTGATGATGTATACCTGCTTAGATGTTGAGATATGACTCTCGACACATGTAAGTGCCGTGTCTCGGGCCGAGCTTTGTTATTGACACAAAGCCGGACTGATGGCTTGCTAAGATCATCAATTGATGTAATTGCAGCAGTCCAAGCCGGTAAGGAGAAGGTATCAAGTTCCTACTGGAGATTGTTCCCGTTGCTGGGTCTAGTCGCCAGCGTCTGGCCGAATCTGTTGATATGGAGATCGCCGGATTTCTCAGTCATCTTGGTTCAGTCCACTGGTACGGACTTTGAATTCTGAAGCTTCTTTTGGTTAATTCTGGCCTGATTGCCCAAGAATCCATCACCCAGCCGAGACAAGCCCAACGGACAGAGTACATGGGTCATTCCCCACGCAGCGCAGGGAACATTTTCTACGAGGCGTCATCTGCTCTGATGCCGCTCCGGGTCGGCCGACAAAGATTAGAGATAAGCTCCTTATCCCCGGGGAAGGCCGGCTTCGCAGCAAGTCCCACGGCCCGCTGCCGTAGCCACGCTTCGGTCATCCGCAAAGGCGTTCAACTTCAGTATTGACCAAGAGCTCCAGGAGACGCATGTGCTACTCTAGCCAACGTGGCTGTCCGAGAGGTTGGATGAGTTGCAAGCCCCTAATAATGAGAAATGAGTGGCGTTGATGGTTCAACCCATCAGTGCGAGCACCCGTGGCCCCCAGGCTCTAGAAGTTAGTTCGCAATAGTTTTCTGCAAAAGCCCTTCACCGACAGGCTGGCTGAACTGCATTTTCAAGGGCATCCTGGCCAGATTTCGGGATGCCGCAGATGCTCTGGAGCCTGTCGTTCGGTGAACACAGAATAGGGGCAAAGTAGTGACAGAAGTGGGGTGGTTTCCTGCAACGAGCTTGGGAAGGTTGCTCGTTCGTGTTTCTGACAGCGTGAACAGACATCTCTGTCTACAGGTGAAGCTTGCCAAACATCAGTTGATGGGTCTCGGCCGCCACGAAATTCGACCACGGACGTTGTAGAGCAAGCACCGCTTCTCGCCTATTGGACCGCACGGGCAAGCTGGGGATCCAGACCCTTCCCACTGCCGTGATGCCATGCTTCGGCCACCTAACGAACACAGCAGTAGCGGTTACAAGCAAACGGCTTTCGGTTTGAGGACGTAAGCGTACATTTTGCTGTGCGTTTGCATGTAATTCCTGATGGAGACTGGGCGTCGAAAGCAGGTACCAACGGACGACGGCGGTGAGCATCTGCGAACACAACAGGTGCCTGTGCGTCTCGTGTGGTCGTAGAGCCGCCGGAAAATTTTCCTGCAGAAATGGCGAACACAAAGAACATGTCCTGTAAGGCAACGCAAACCGCCGTGAAGGAAACGTGTTGGGGGAAACCTAAGAGACTAGGGCAACCTCGCGTGGTTCGGGTCGAAGGAAACGGTGTAACGAAGGCCTCCATCTCGACGACTTGGGCTGCCGTACAACAAAGAAGGCGTTTAGTCCGTTTCAAGCCCTTCACCGCCCTCTTGGGTGACGAAATCGTGTTGCCGCAGAAACTGGATCAAAGGGCTGCGATTGACGACGTGGGCGAAGGGGATCCGCAAGACGCTGAGCGGAAGGGGGCTTTCAACGACTTCCTTGCCGGCGATCAAAGGGCACAGGGCAAGTGAAAAGGCGTCAGTTGTGGATTCTGGACGATCGATCGTCCGCCCAGCTGGAAAGTGGAGAGACGCTAGTGTACATGGGCAGATCCCTCTCTTGCGAAGGACGTGTTCCCAGGGTCTGACAGCCCCAGAAAAGCAATGTCTGCGATGGCGTGTAAGACGAGTGACTGGCTGAGGGTGCCAGGTGAAGCAGAGATGAACGCGTTCGCGTCGTCAGGTGCGTAACCGAAGCAGATGGGTCGACTAAGCTCCAGATGCGGTGTGAGTGAGGATTATTACCTGGTGTTCGTGCTATGTAACGTCAGACAGCGTCCGAGCTGTATTTGCCTTTCTGTCTTCGCGAACTGGTCGTAAACCACCAAGACCATGAAGTGTTCCGGGTACGCGATCGATCAATGACAAGTATGATGGAGCGCAAGGTGGTAGTTCTAAGCGGTAGTGTGTAGAATTCGGTTCCAGACTTGGACCTGGCAACCTGGAGACGCGACCGTGCATTTCCAATAGCGGTGGCTCTCGCGGAGGCTCGTATTCTAGGACACAGATGTTGAGTAATCTCCGTGACATTTCCTCGCGGTGAGAGAGGCGGCAAGCCGGGGTTCGAGGGCAAGAGAGGGAGATTTCGGCTAAACGCTTGGAAACTGGGACTGGTCGCGTTGACGGCTGGATTTGCAATGGTGGAGGTGCTGACCGGGTAGTATGGCGCAAAGTTCCGGCTAGAGGTAAATGATTCGAGATAAAGTTGGATTGGCGGCGTAACTGTGGGATCCGTTCACACGTCTTCAGCAGCACCTGTGACCTCGGCGGGCGGCGCAGAAGAGGGGCTGCAGGATGAAACCTATGCGAAATTTGTGCCGCCTCCCAAAAGGGCTCAATTTGCCCGTTTTCTGGAGAGCTTCGAACGGCGACTGTTTGCAAATGTCAAAGCTCCGGTAACAAGAGAGAAAAGAGACGATTCCAGGCGGCTCGCCCTGGACTTGCAAGGGCTCACACAATGGGACCCCTGACTGACGGCGTGGTATTGCTGCTGTCGTTGTTCATCAGTGAGGTAGGATATGTTCAGGGACCGTCCGTAGTACGTAGCAGGCGAATGGGATCAAAGAAGCGATGAAAGGAAAACGGGTAGCTGACGGGACGGAGCAGTGATGATGGGGTGAACAAACAGCGAGGAGAGCTCTAGATCCCCTGCTGCCGATTGGATGTTTCATTCCGACTTCCCAGTTCCATTGCCTGCGCCGATCAATGGACCCGCACAGCAAGCCCCAGTTCGAGTCCATAAGGCATCGCAGGACGCCTTCCCACCCGAACCCTGAACCCTGGCCCTTCGCACCCTCTACACAAGGTTGGGTATCCGTAAGCACGGTACGTACCTAAGGTAACTACCAGGTGCCCCTGCTTGCCGGATGTGGCCCCACCTTCCCATTGATCCCGCCAGTCGAAGCAGCCGCGTTCCTGCCGCCTCCTTTCCTCCTTCGTCCTCTTTCATATTGTTGGTGGATGAGGAGTAGAAGAGGAAGGCACCCCCATCCTAGAACCGCTCCCGTCATGATGGTGCCGCTTCAGGGTCTCCCCTGTTCCAGCCTCCCAAGCCCCTCAATAGGGACAGGTGAGGTGCTTGCTGCACGGGCTGTACAGTGGTCTCTCATTTCACAGGACGAGACTTGTGGCATTTCGCAGTTCGTTCTCTTCTGCCAGTTGCTAAAAGTAAGAGCTTCTCTTGTCTCGTGCTTTAGTAGGTTCCGTTTGGCCAATGGAACTCTGTTTGTCCAACGCCAACTCGTCGTACCCTCGCCCAGTCGCACCCCCTGCTCGCCTTCTGCAAGCGATGTTGCCTCCGTGCAACCGGCGTCGATTTCTCTGCGACGACGACGCTTGGCTTCGTTCGCCCTCACGAGAACCATGTCAAACGGCGACATGACGTTGGCGATCATGATGCAAGTGACGGCGGCTTGCACAACTGTCAAACACCTGCGCCATTGTTCCCCGGTGCTGGCAAGCCGACGGACTGGTTCCTGCGAGACACCGGCATCGAATCGAACGAAGAAGCAAAATTCTGCTATTTGTCGCATTCTGCGCCCCTGTCATGCGCTATCTGGTAGCCTCAAGCCATGCGTAACGACCAGGAGTGTCCCCCGTCTTATCCCACCCCGACCTCTTAGTGCGAAGCTTTTCGTCCAAACACCCCGGCCCTGACACCAGTCAGCTTTGTGTGGATGCATGTCCCGCCGTCCCGCGGACAGCACGATTGCTCGCTTTGCTTTGCATTTTAGCTTCTCTGGTCTTAACAAGCTCCCAAACGTGGGCAAGCTGCAATATCTCACGTACCTTGGGTGCTAAGTAAGGTACTCACTCTCAGACTGCGCGTCCTCGAGTGTCGGATTCGTGTCCTGGGCGCGTGAGGGCGGAGGCTAGTAGAGCTCTGCTGCAGTGCCTCATCTGCCCAGGGCAGCCTGCCTTTAATTCTCACACGCTGGGCATGAGCCTCACCTGCCTTGCCTGGTAATCTGCTTTCTTTCCAGAGCCACGCGCATCCGTATTCTATCCAAGCAAGGACGCCGTTCAATTTCGTTCAGCACCCACTACCGTCTTGGGCTAGACACTCGCCCATCTGCTGCCGCCAGCCGCTCCCAACCCACTCCGACACGACCGCAACCGCATCCAAGATCCGCATCCACGTCAACAAATCTGCATCCAGCTTGCATTGGCTCGGACAAGATCAAGACCAAGACCACCCGCAATAATTACACATCACCAAACAAGCAGCACCACCACCACCACCACTACATCTCAGACACCGAGTCTCCCTCGCTCTACATCATCACCCACACTGCCTGTTCTGCTCTCGGCAGCCTCCCCAATCGCTACCAGTCTAGCGGCTTGGGGCGCAGCCCGGAAACGCGAACTATTTGTTTAATCCTCTCCTTGTGTTCCCTAAATCAGGAACACCTGCTCGGTAGATCAAGCCACTTCCAAAAGGCTTGGACCGGTGTCCGCTCTGCTCGATCTCTCATTCTTTTCCTCCCCATGTCCTCCACCTCATCTTTCTTTCTTCAGATTAGATGACCGTTGAGCTTCTCCATCTTCAACCCGACCATATCTCGTTTCTGGTCATTGGAGCTACCGCTGCGGTTGCCGACCAATCCCCCGGTCCTATAGCGGCAAAGTGTGAGATATCTGCAACTGGTTGCACATCATCGAGCCTTCCTTCCATTCGTCAACCAACCTTCTTCGCCTACACCTTTCCCCTCCACTTGGTCTCCTTCGACTTGCCCTTAGTCACCTTTCAAACACCTTGCGACCATCCGCATTTAATGCCTACAGTGTTTTAATTCATCATCAACCATTTCGACGCCATCGCCAGTCCTGCGAAATCCTGCTCCAATGCCCGAGCCTACCAAATATCACGGTGGCCTCGTGGCCTTCGAGGGCCCCATCGACCTCGTCTCAACCCAGCTGCGCCTGCTACCCACATCTTCGCAAATCGCAATTCTCCCCAGTGTCAAGGAATTTCTCGAGCCTGAAGACCCCGACCAGCCATTCGAAGCCCGGAAATTCGTCAAGAGAGTTCACAATGCTGTCGCCAAGAGAAGGGAAGCAGCCCTGGTCTTTCTCACTGAGTCCACCCCCAAGCGCAAGAGATTGGTCTTCATGAACGGAGGCACCCCGAGTGCGCAGACTGTCTGCATCAGAGCCATCTCCCGAAACGATACCAATGGCGACATCTCCAAGGCCGAGGCAATTTTTAACGAGATTGTCAAGGGTGGCGTCGCCGGCTTGGACGCGCATCCTGCCGCCTCCAGAGGTTCCTTCTTGGACACAACAGAGGATGTCGTCGAAGACCCCATCACCCGAGCTATGAGAGCCGCTGATGCTCTAGACCGGGAGACTGAAAACCTCCAGCCAAACAGCGACATCGACCTTACCGTTGGTCGCCCACGGAGCATGAGTTTACCGTTGTACAGCTATGCGGACCGGTTTGGTGACACGGCGCCATTTTACGTTTTTGGAGGCCAGTCTGACGAGGATACCGTCGCCGAGGAGGATGAAGCAATCTACGCACCCAAGACCAACAGCCCAGCGCCAAGGCTGGCCATCACAAACTTCGATGAGCTTGAGAAATTTGCAGCTCTTGACTTCAACTTCGACAACAAGTCAGTTGCGCCGGCCCCACCTCGTTCTCCAAGCTGCGTTGGTGAGGCATATGAGACTGGTGATCCGTTCACGTCGCCCCTGCCTAAGCCTCCCGGCCTACTCGATGTGGCGTCTCCGCGCTCTGATATGTTTAGCATTCGTTCAACAGAGCCCATCATCATCGAGCAAGCATCAATAGTTCGAATGAAGTCTACCTCATCCGCCAGGTCTCTTCCAAGATCTCACTCTGTGGACCAACTTCACCGGAGCAACTCACGTTATCGGGACACCTTACTGCGCCTCAGAGAAAAGAACAGCGCCGCTTCAAAGAAGAAGGGCGCTGATCACCGTCGATCTTCGGTTGTTGAGCTTATTGAAGACGCAGAGCGACGGGACAGCAAGGCCAAGCTAGTCGCAACACCGAAAACAGTATATGTGAGGCCGGCGAGACTGAATAAGACCCTGCCGCCACCTCACCCGAGTCCCAAGGAGAGCGAGGCACTCGGGGAGCCTGAGAACACGAAGAACAAATACGTCGACCGAGGAACCGATGCCGAGGAGATTGTCATGAAGGATTCTTCATTTCAACCAGTGCTTCCGTTTTCTGAGGATCTTGTCATTCACTTCAAAGACGACAGCCCCGACCCGATCCTAGAGTACATGATTCGAGCTTTCAAAGAGGGCACCTACCCGGTTACTTTACCTTCTTCCAGCACTTCCGTCACTGACGGCGATGTATCAGCCCCGCAAACTCCTACATGGCAAGCGGGAGAGTCACAAGTGGCCGACTTCACACCTGCGAAGAGCGTTCACGCGGACGAGTACGATCCCTTCTCCTACCGGGGTTCGGGTTACAAGCCAAAGCAGCTCCATCCCGTGTCCACCACCGTTACAACATCTACTCTTCCAACACCTGCCGCAACGCCGCCGCCCACGGTCTCGGAGCCAGAGGATAAGTTCCATGACTTCAACACCGTTTACTGCCAGACAGCTGTCGCGATGCAGAACTCACTTCGTTCTGTTCTGAATATCTACTTTCCCCCAAAGGCAAGAGGCTTCTCTCAATTCAACTTTCCCCTTCTTCCTGAGATGGACGGACTGTGGAAACCCATCTTCCGCGACGTGGATCCGGGCGGTAGCCCTAGGAAGAATGACCAGCGAATCGACCAGATCCTAGCCATTGGATCACAGAAGGGGGTCAAGAAGACGTTTGTCTCTTCAATTACGAGTCAGCTTGAGAAGCTGGGTACTAAGTCCAATGGTATTTCCCGGACTGGAAAGCTGGATTTCAGGTAAGTTGTATTTTGAGTTGATCGGTTAACACATCTAACAATGACCCAAGATACCTCATCGCAACTGCAATGCAGTCATTCACCGCTCAGCCCTTGGCCAACCAGACTCATGACAACCCTTTCACGAACTCGTATCTTTTGGCAACTCTCATTGTCCCTCACCTCGAGACATACTTCGCCGCTCACTCTGAAGTTCGCTTCCTCCTTCTGGATTACCCGCCCGATCATCTTGCCACTGTACTCGCGTTGCAGAAGCTTGTTGGCGTTGACCTGATGAAGGTTGCCCAAGTCATCGATGCCGATGCCAAGGAGCCCTTCCCCTTTACCCACGTCCGCGGCGGCTCTGTCGGTCGTATCTCCAACAAGAGCGACTTGGCCTCGAGCTCGGGATCCCTTCAATCCAAGTGTTCAAACACCGGTATTTCATCGTCGTCACGCGATGGCATGGCAGTCTCAAAGGCCAACTTCCTCCTGACATCAAAGGCGACTGATAGCGAGATTTCTACTTTCATGTCCACGGTGTGGAAGATTCTTATCAACGTCTCGAAATTCTACCTCCCTGAGGAAGGATTCAACCCTGGGGACAAGCGCAACTTCTCTCCGTTCCCCCAGCCCAACCAACCGCCCGTCAGCCCTCCCATGTGCCCGCCGTCCTCGGACAGCAGGAGAACGGGAAAGAGGTCGGCATCAATCAAGACGTCAGGTCGGCCTTCATCCATTGCAGACACGATCAAGACCCGGCGGATCAAGTCTCGAAGAGCCGACAAGAAGATTCTGGGGGACGGCGCATCCGTCTTGACCGTCGATATGGACTACGAGAGCGATCTGGACCTCGAGGAAAGACGTCTGATGCCCATGTTTATGAAAAAGTCTCCCCAGCAGTCTCGCAACAAGGGCAACAGCCGCAAGGCTTTGAAGTTTCTCGGCCTCGCCTGACGCAGTTCTCTTCCCCTTCTTATCTTTTCATTAGCATTCGAGTTAGCATGTGGGCTGGCATCACACACTGTTGTAAGCATTTGTACTTGTATGAGCGTAACGATCGGTTTCTTTTGTGGTGGATCGTCAGGGGCGAGTCGAGTGAATGGCAACATCGGGGAAGAGGATTTTACAGGGAAAAGGAGGCGATATCCTCCTCTTTTAGGTCGCGGAAAACTTGCTGCTCGGTTGGGAAGACCGAGGATTTCACTTGCACTCACTGGCGAATCTTTAATGATTCAAGTAGTCACGAATAATACCCAGGGATTGAATTCCCCTTAGATAGGAAAAGAAGGACTTCAAAAGCCGCAAAAAGTGTCATTACAAGAACCATGCCAAGTGACTGCATTGACTGCTGATGACGACTTCAGTTACTTTTGTGTTGTCCCCTATTTTCCGTCATCACGACTTCATTTACAAACAGACTTCACATGAATTCCTACCAACTAAGTCGTTCAGGCAGTCTTCGGCCGCAGGAGTGGCGCGTTAGTAAGGGAGGATTGCCCCTTCCTACCTTGGCTTATCGGGGGCAGATGTGGGTATCGACTGAGGTCCAAGTGACGCATGTGACCGCGCGGGGTCATGTGCGTGGGTGGTGTCCCCCGGATTGCGGAATGCCCGCAGACGCAATCCTGTGTTCTCCCGTCCTGCCTTTCCCTCTTGCCCCCCAACCCAACCCCCAAAAGTACAAACCCCCCACCCAACCCAATCCACGTGAGGCCGCGCCCGATGACCGCCGGCCCATCCGAAGAATCCCCCCCGAGTACCGTCGCACGTCATATGTCATCGTTGTCAAGCTCATGGTAGCCTAGACGTCCACAACTCGTCGATTTAATGAGAACTGTCGGAACTGCAGTCACCAAGCCCATGCATCATGTCAGGATATCGGTTTAAGAAAAGGAAAGTCACTTGCCCATTACTTCGACCCTATCTACCAGAAAGCAGCAGCCGCCAAAGAAAACAAGACAGACCAGGAGAAACACGGAGAGATAGGAACCGGCCGGGAAATGGATGCTCCCGTCCAGTTGTCATCTCTCGCGGATCGCACGTTGTGATGATCATGTGCTCGTTACCCGGCCGCCAGCAATGTTCGGTTGCAAAGTACACGGTGCGCCAGCCCAAAACACAGCCTACACATTTCACACGTAGAGATAGCCTCGTAGCCCTTGATTCCTGCCCAGCCCCTAAGCATCCCCAGATATATTCTCGGTCGAAAGCCTATGCGTGTTTGGCCCTCGGATGCGTCTGCATCTAGGGTGTTCTGTGCCTTGCCGAAAAAAGGCATCATCGTGGTCCCATTACAGAGGTATCTGTCTGTCGAGTGCGTGTGCAGTGTGTAAATGTAGCCGAGGCAACCCAAATCAACACTCATCTATGCGTAGAAGAAGTACGAAAGCAGCAGCAGGGAAGGAGAGAAAAGGCAAACGACACAGCTTTAGTTGAGCTGGATCCGGTTCCTAACACCTTCGTAGGTTGTGCATTTCTCCCTCGCCCATCTGCCCAGCTGTTTCCCCTCGCCGATCAAATCCGTAAATGCCATAGAACAAAGGTAAGGAAAGCGGGCTTCGAGAATAATCGGGATCGATACGTTTAGCAGCAGCCGCCGCCCGAGTTCGAAGAGACGCCGTGACCGGGACCGACCTGCACGCTGGGTTTCGTGTTGTTCGCGGTCGTGCTTCCCATGCGCTCCTTGATCTGGCGGGCCATGGTCAAGAAAGCCTGCTCGACGTTGCTGGCATTCTTGGCAGAGGTCTCGAGGAAGGGGATGCCCAAGCTGTCGGCGAACTCCTGTTTCGGGATTAGCAAATGGTTCTTTGGATGGGGTGGCCGTTTGGCAGGCTGGGGACTGCCTGTGCAGCATCGCGCTCAGCTGGTGAGCAGGTGGCGGCGTACCTTGGCAACGGTGTACTCGACAACCTTCTTGTCGGACATATCGCTCTTGTTGCCGACGAGCAGCTTGTTGACGCCCTCGGTGGCGTATCTGTCAATCTCCTGAAGCCACTGCTTGACGTTGTTGAAGGAGTCCATGTCGGTGACATCGTAGACGACGCAGATGCCGTGGGCGCCGCGGTAGTAGGAGGAGGTGATGGTGCGGAAACGCTCCTGGCCGGCGGTATCCCACTACAGCAAACGCACAGGAGTGTCAGTCACTGCGACAAACGGAGCGTTTGAACGTATCGGCGACAAAGGTCAACTTACGATCTGCAGCTTCACCGTCTTTCCATCGAGCTCTATCGTGCGGATTTTCTGCCATCCATCGTCAGTAGGCGGTCGGTGGGCGGTATGGAATGGGAGCACATACGAAATCGACACCAATGGTGGAGATGTAGGACTCAGTGTAGGTGTCATCGGCGAATCGCAAAAGCAAGCAAGACTTTCCAACACCGGAGTCACCGATGAGGAGGAGCTTGAAGAGGTAGTCGTACCTGTAGACGGATTAGTATCGACATGGAGACGAGAGGAGCGGTATCGCTGTATGGCTATTGAAGTTTTCGCGAGAGAAGGACGACGACGGCGGTAGTTTGGGATGGATGAAGGGACTCTGCAGCGGGAGATAGTCAGCTTGATGTCGGCTCCGAAAGGCTTCGTAGATCCTTCGCAAGGAGGCGATAGAGGCAACGTACTACTCGGGGTTCATTGTGATAAGCGTATGTGGAGCGAAGACTGGGAGAGATCAGAAAGCGTCGCGATCGGAGGCAGGCGGGGCGATTAAATGGGCGTTGGCGTGGTGGTGGGAGGCGATGGATTCTGGAGGTGTCGTGATGAGGTGTTGAAAGCAACAAAGCCGGTCAAGTGAGGTAGGAGTCGGACGGAGTAAGGCAGGCTGCTACGTCAAGGTTTCTAGTGCAGTGCAGCCAGGTCTGCTGGTGCTCAGGGTGGCATAAGGTACCTCTTAGGGACCGTAGTACGAAACCATGGACGGGCAGTGTTTGGTAAGTGGCCAGTGTCCTGTGCCCACCTCACAGTCCCAAGGTGCCTAGAGAGGAGTCCTGTGGCCAGTGTTCAGCGTTTAGTCCACACGGGCATGCACACTGCAGGAGCAAACGGGCCCACTCACTCCTCCGTCAGATGTCACCGACGAATGAAACTCTTCGGAGCGGCGCATGAGCACGGGGTATCGCACGTGACTTTGCCGTTGGTCTGGACCGTCCTGAACTTCACCGAACACCCTGCCCACCCTTCTGGCACCCGCGCTGCAGGAGCCAGGTACGAACACACTCAGTACGTAAGCAACTGTTGGTACTGACCGAGCCCAAAGGTGGTCCTTAATATCAAATCCCACGTCTCCTTTTCGTACCAGCCTGGGCAATGTTTAAAACACTTTCCGCCAGATGCTACACTCCCTGAGGGAACCATGAAAGCCTTCTTTGAACGTGGTGATTTATTTTCAGCTCCCGTTTGTTTCCAAACATCCTCCGTGTTTCCGTCATTTCTTTTCATCTTTGCGCACATTGAAATCTACGTTTCTAGCTTCTTCTGATGCTTTGTGTCAGGTTTGGTACCAGGCGCGGCACGCCTGCATAATGCCGCCATGATGTAGAGTATGCATGGTTTCGCTGACAGGACCCCACCCTCCGCGCTTCGTGTGGAGTTGCCCAGATCGCCAACTTCATCTCTAATCGTATGTAGTGTATTTATCACCTTTCCCCGTGTTGATTGTTCGTCTGTGCATATCCGAGTCCTTCGGACGACTGGCACCTCAACTGCTCGTCATTTGACACAGAGTCTGGCTGCTATCATGGCTTATGGACGGGCTCGAGGTGTGCAGACTGACTCCCGGAAGCAGACATGCGTCCCTGTGCTTGGTGACGCAAGGGTGCCAGCCCGCTGGAGACATGACCGTGTAGCTGGATGAGTCCCTGATTCATCGTGACTCCTTAGCGATAACGGGCAAGCCATCGGCTTTCGTCTTTTTTGTGACAGCCTTCAACCCTGCCATCGTCACCGCGAACTCAACGGCGCCGTCCAATCCCTGTCCTGTCGCCTTGGCATGCGGAGCGAAGACCACCTTCATCCACCGACGCCAGTTCTTGAGCGCTGGCACCCCTCCATCCTCAGCTTCATCGTCCACATGTCGATGAACTCCGTAGACCGGTTTTTTGAATAGCGCAACGCGGCAGGCGATCTGCGTCGACCAGACCAGTCCCAGACTTGGTGTCTTGAGGCCGTAATCGGCTAGAGGGTCGTCACCCCATCCTGTAAACCACCGTTGCTGATGATCCAATGCCATCGCGGGCAGGGCTGGGGGTCCGACATCATCGAATCCGGGAGGTTCTGGCATGCTAGACCGCAACTGCTCTGCCATGGACGACGGTGGCTCGACGGCGGATAATGAAAAGTCTGGCGGCGGACCTCTACTCCTTGACGCCAGTGGGCTCTCTTGAGTGAACCTTACGTTGGTACTGGGCGGCGGCATTCTGGAGACCGCAAGTGGGCTGGAGAATCGATCCGCAACCTGGTTGGATACCACGACAGCCAGGTTGTACTTTTGAGCCAGCTCTCTAAGCAAGGCACCCAGCCGTGTCAACTCGTGACTTCGAGCTCCCATATTTGATCCCTGGTTGCCCATAGCACCGCGCTCAAACTCAGCTCGGTAGTTGGAAGCAACGGAATCGAGAACGATGAGGCCGATGTTGCGTCGCTCAACTTCGACTGGGACTTGGAACTGGAGGATGTGTTCTTGTGATTCGAGATCAGGGGTCGATGTGCTTGAGATGCCGTCGAGAGAAGGTCTCTCATCATTGGGAAGATCCTTGAGTCGCGGGTTTGCTGACATCATTTGTGACAGTCGTCTAGTGGACAACTGAGCCTCTGTAGTGATGTACAAGGCGGGCCGACCAAGACCATAAGGAGGGGGTAGCTGAACAGCGAGTAGCAGAGAGAGCAAGAATTGCGTTTTCCCAGCACCGCTCTCTCCCGTGATCTCGGTCACGTATCCGGTCGGCACCCCTCCTCCCAACGCTCTATCTAGGTCATCGTCGAGAGTGCTGATAGTAGACCATTGATTTTGCAGGTCTGTGAGCGATCGCTTGAGAGGCGGGCTCTCGTCCGATTCAAGGTGTGGGGGACCAAAGTTGCGATGAAGAGCGTCGACGACAGCTGCACATAGCCTCTTGACGTCAAGAAGCGGCAACTGCGTACGCTTGCCGATGTCAACAACATCCAAGGTCAGGAGCTCGGTGGTTGATATCTGGTGTCGTTCGAGAGTCTGCACGAGTCCAGCAAATTGCCTGACAGGAAAGTCAGGCAGGAGTTGCGAGAGGTCCGTCATGGCATGGAGCAGATGTCTAGTGGTATGAGGCGGCGAGTTTGGTGCATGGCCCACAAAATCGGATTGTGTGTTGATTCACTCAGAGTCACAAAAGGACTCGGTGGTGATTGTCCAGGCACTGGGGGACGGATTCAGATGAGTGATCTGCAGCCTGGGACGCGTTGTTGACAATCAAGTCATCAGACTTGACAAATTTGTGTTATGAAAAACGGGCGGGAAGGAACACGTCGATGCTCAGCGCTGCATGTCGTCCAGGTACTCTGAACAGTCTCCAACCTACCAGAGCAAGTTGTTGCATGCGACACAACCCAAATCACGGTGTTCACGGATTTCTGCAGCTTGTTACTGCAGTTGGAAGTTGCAGTTGCGGTTGCAGGGTTCCTTACCGACGACGATTGGGCAAGAGTTGGAGCTTGGACTTCATATAGGGGGGGGGGTTATGTAATCACAGACAGATGCCTATTCGCCAAGCAAACGTCCGCCAAGCGACTCTACGTTTTGTTTATGAGACCGCCAATTTTTCCCTGTGCTATACCGACTACCTTTCCTGTGGCTATACTCAACCTGACCGTCATTACTTCTATTATCGTCGTCGTCGTCGCTGTTATCGTCTCCGACAGGATCACTTAAGTACACAGGAAATTTGGCCGCGCAGACAACGGAAACTTCGGCGGTCTCTTGTTTATCGTCTGCATGGCCATCGACAGAAGTCTTGTTTTGCAGCAGCCTTGTCTTCTGTGGACATTCCTTGCTACCAACCACAAAATGGCACAAACAAGATCCTTGAAGCGCCATGGATCTTTGGCATATCAGCCTCGCCCAGGCCCGAACCGCTTTCCGTTCCCACGTCGTTTGCAAAACAAGCCCCCGAATAACACGCGGAAAGACAGTAACTACAGCTTGGGGGTCCTCCATCCCAGACTCAACATGCACGTGTGAAATCTATTCTCTGGCAATTCCGCCACTCCGTCAGGCCATACTCCGGTTCCCAAGAGAAAACGCAGCGCAGGCAGCAAGTCTACTAGTGTACGGCTCTCGTGCGAACCATCAGACCACCCTTATTTCGACCTGACCCGAAGAAGAAAGCACAGGCCCGAGGCTGAAGTCTGCCTTGTACCGATGCTTGTCTAATTTCAGGTTGGATTGGTCGGTAAGCCAGGAAAGATAGTGTCTTCTCTGCTGAGGACCACTAGGCCAGGCTGGCTCAAGGGCGACAGTTCACACGCCGGACACGCACCGATCAGCCGCTAATCTCGGGAAATCCGACTTCCAACGGCATGGTTTGTCGCTTGTAGTGCCCTTGCTATCCTGAAGGATTCGGTCGTCATGTTCGGTGCTCGCGAATTCATACCGAACGAGACAAACTCCACACTTCCAACCGTCAGCATCGTCATAACCTGTCCACGACGGCCTCAATTCCTCCAAAGGTGCCGGAACCGTTTCCGTTAAGCGACGACCAAGAAACTCAAACCACTGGAATTTGGGGATAGCAGGACGTTTAGCAGAAATTCCCATGCTGGGGCTGTGATGTGACGGCTTGGCAATTCAAGGGCGCCTGCGGATCCTGTTCGATTAAAGTCTCAGAATGTCGTTTGCAAATGTCTCAGCTGGGACTGTTAGCTCTCAGCAGACCTCCGCATCAACCCCATCCACAGCTATCAGCGCTTGATACGCTGCTGAACTCTCCCTCTTTATCGTTTGTCTTTGTTTCCGCGTTGACCCCGCCTTCTCGGGCACGCTCTTTAAACATTCGCCAAGCGGCTGTCTTTCCCTTCTCTCTTGGTTCGCACTAACACGGCTTGCTCTATTCAGCTCCTGCAAGCCACAAGGAACCGACCACAACGCAATTGGTCTGGCTGAACCCTGGATGCCTAACTAGTCGCTCCCCTAAAGCCAAGCTTCCCGACTATGATACGAAATTGGCTAGCCTAGGGCTGAGCACCTTGCGATTCGCTGTCGAAGCCAACCAAGCATCACCGGTCCCCGTCGGTGCTCACATCAGTTGCTTCTATCAGCACAACTCGTACTCGGCCGCTGGGGCCCCGAGCATGTTGAGTAGGACAACAATCGAGCGTAGAGGACTGGGAACACAAGGAATGCCTAGTTTATAATGGCGTCCAGCTCTCAATGCCCAAGGGCCTCCTTCTTCTCCCACCTCGCCCTGCTTGGTCTCCCTTGAGTTACTCCGACGTAACTCACAATTGATCATTGCTCGCCCGTCTGATCAACTTCAAACACGAATCAGTCATCATGGTGACTTCGATACGATCCATCGCAAGCCTGGCGGTCCTCTCTGGACTCGCCAATGCGAAACTGTACGCCGTGCCCGAGGCAACTACAACGTTCAACCTGCCGCTCGACCAGTTCAGCCCGCAACCTACGAAGGCACCCGCCTACGCGGATCTGAGGAGAAGACAAACATCAGCCGCGACCACCGTGCTTGTTGCTCCGGATAACACGTGCGGATACATCTCCGGTCGTGCCGGCGCTGCTTACACTTGCGGTACTGCGGCTAGCTGTATCTTCTTCACATCGACCTCGCGAGTCAAGGGCTTCGTGGCATGCTGTGATGCAGACGACTGTGGTGCGCGCCGCACCTGTTACGACGCTCGGCAGATTTCTTCATCGAGCGTTTGCGACAATGGCTGCATGGTGGACAAGTATACCCTCAAGTGGTACGTCTGAAAGTAATGCTGCCGTCTTCTCTCAAGCTAACACGAACGTCCAGCACCAACACAGCAAGGCCATACTGCAACACAATCTCCTTCTCGGGCAGCGTCTTTGACTACTGGTGCAACACCCTCGAAATCTCAACGGCACAAGCTGCTGTGACGACCTTTGAGGGCCAGACAGGGCGTACTTGGGTACCGCTCGCTCTAACGGACGACGCTACTTCGAGTCTTCGGGCCCCGAGTGCGTCCGGCAGGTTCACTGCGACCGGAACCGGCTCCCCCGCAGATCCAGTGGCTTCCGACCCCACCAGCAACAACAATAATAATAACAACAACGACAACGATAGCAACGACAACAAGTCTTCCACTCCCGTTGGTGCCATCGTCGGAGGCGTTGTTGGAGGCCTGGCCGTCATTGCTCTTGTCGGCCTCGCAATCTTCCTCATCCTTCGCAAGAAGAAGAAGCCGGCCCAGAACCAAAATCAGCAGCCGCCTCAAATCCAGCCCCAGCCCCAGATGGCTCAGAACAACTACCAAGGAGGACCACCACCTCAGGCATCCCCTCCTAACCAGTACGCTACGACTACTCAATCTCAAGTGTGGGATCATAAGTACGGCGGCCCCCCGGTGGCAGGATACCCCCAAAGCTACGGCAGCACGTCTCCTCCTCCCCAAGGTGGTTACCAGCAGCCTGGGCAGCCTGGCTACTTCGTGGCGGGCAACATGGTGCCCGACCGCGCAGACACCACGAGCCCCATGTCCGTGTCTCAAGCAACGGATAACCGGTACAGCACCCAAACCGTCGCCGGATACCAGCCGCAACAGCCTCCTCCACAGCAGCAGCAGTTTGCGCAGCCGCAACCTACGATCCACGAGGCGCCGGCCACCAACGATGGCCACCGGGGCCAGATGCATGAGCTCGCTTGAGCAGGCACGTCCGCCGCTTGTACGTGCTAGCTGAGGGGCAGGGATGTTGATTTGATGATACCTGTTGCTTTTTTCTTGTATATTTTATGGCAACTCATCTGGCCTGTGCTGGCAATAGATGGAAACCCTTTTCGTAGACCAGTGTATGACGGCAATTCCTGATAGAGAATCTCAAAATTGCCAGCCAACGGGATGGATTGTGCTCCCTGAACCCTTGCGAATACACCATGTGAGAGCGATACGTCAGTTGTGTGAAGACGAGGTCCAATCCCATGGTTCACTAAGAGTAAGTATCACATGGGGACCACCTGGAAGAAAACGCCAGCGACTGAGACATACCGCGACCACTGCGAAACTTCTTCTAGTCTTCTGAATTGGTGTGAGAAATGTCTTGGTACGGCGCTGGGGTCCCAGATCTGAAGTCTGATGCGCGTGCCAACGAGCCTAGCAAATAACGGTTTGATAAGCTACCTACTTCATTCGCACACCATGTGCATGTATGCAAAAGTGAGTTGCGGATTTACAGGCACAAGCCACAAATTATCGGACTAACATTGACGGACCCGTGCAAAGATTTATCCAAACGGAGGGTATATTTCCAGAAAGAAAAGGGCTTGCTACTCTATGTGCTCAGCTTGCGCAAACTCGGGGGTGTCACAACATCCCCGTACCACCCAATACTCAATGTCCACGTTCTAGTCATACACAAAACGTGTCGTCGTACAACGTTACCGCGTCCGCTTCAGGCAGCCAAATAGGACAACAGACAAGTCGCCGGATCAGTAGTCGATCAGCCTCAGCTTCTTGCCAATCTCCCTACGACGCGCCTGCACCGCCGCACGCTCCGAGGGTTTCGTCTCCCCATTGTCGAGATTCTCGCCACGAGCCTTGAGCGCTTGGAGTAGCATA